ACTCCCCGCCGAGCAGGGAGCCCGATGCGGGACTCGATCCCGGGACTCCAGGATCATGACCTGAGCCGAAGGCAGTCGCTTAACCAACTGAACCACCCAGGCGCCCGCAAATACCTTTTCAATCTTCCGCTTGCAGCAAATTTGCTACTGTCTCATTTGACCAAAGCAAATCACATGGTTATATCCATGTGGGAGGGCACTACAAAGGGGCATGGGCATTGAAAAGTGTACAAATTGGGGCTTTTTAATATAATTAACCTACTGGGGTCATGGTTCAACACCATGCTATTTTTATCCTACTTTCCAGACAGTTTCAATTTGATATTTCAGACCCCAGATGAGTTGTGAAAATGCTAAATCAAATGTAGCCTTGTTGGCTTAGGAAAGTCATAAAAGAACAGTAGAAAATGTGGAAAATGAAATGATGTTTATGATTATAGACTGATCCTGGGGAAACACCATCGGAAGTTCCGAATGAAGCCAGGACAACTCCAGCAGAAAACGGAGTGAATCACACTACATCCTTGGCACCCAAACCACCCTCCCAGGCTCTCCACAGCCAACCAGCTCCAGGTAAACACTCTGAAAAGAGAGCTATACGACATGACTAAGAGCCTCCAATTTATTTGTGCCACTCAGAGAAAGCATGAGCAAAGATGCAAGGACGTAGGAGGAGCTCCAGAAATGTGGAATGAATGAATGAATGCCAAGAGAGATTCATGAGTGCTCATCTTATGGTAACATAAGTTATCATCTTATGAAGCTACAACAAACCATCGCCCAGATCTCCATGTCTATTTAGTGATCAGTTATAATCCATGTGGGGGCAGGGTTTGTGAAGGGTTCTTCATGCAACTTATAAAGAGCTATGCTTGACAAGCTCATTCTTAGCTCTACCTTACAATGCCAACAATTCCTTTCCATCTTTCTCCAACTTATTTTTCAATGGCCTTGGGTGTCCACCATGTGCTGAGCACTCTTTTCAGCCCTTCAAGTGGATTGACTCATTTCACCCTAGTGCCAGGGCTATGAGGGTAGCTTCTGTCATTGTCCCCATTGGGCAGATGAAGAAATTGGTTTTAAGATGGAGAAGTACTTCCTGAAGGCCACATAGCTAGTGAAGAAGGAAGTCAGGATGGACACAGTTCCCTATGATCCCAGTTCTTGCTTTCAACTCTATTCCTACCAAAGGTCCACTCTTGTCTCACTCCTTAGAAAAATCCTTTGATTTCTGTGCAGCTAACTTTGACCTTTGATCTAAGACTGCTTTAGGCAATTCTCTCTCCTATGTATGTCCCCTTTCCCCAGTAGATGGTAGGCTCCCCAGGCTTCAGTTTGATGCTTCCTTTGCACAGACCTGAGGAATAGCGTGTCCTTGATCACTTTTTGTTGAATGGGTTAATATAAAGTAAATAAAAGGGAGAAGAATTTCCTTCCATGAAGTTATGTCTTCCTTGTCTCCTTCCTTCCTCGTCCTACTACAGCATGGCAGTGACGAAATCCAGATTTTTTTTGTTTGGAAGGGAAAGGGCATTTCTCATGAGGGAGAGTGGGATTTTTAAAAGAGCAAATCATTTTGAATTTGTATCAAGTATGCATGAACTGGGCCCTGTGCTTTTAAGAAGGTTGTTGAGATCAATAACAGTAAGAAGATGATTTGATCATAAAGAGTGATATTTTCAAATGAAGAGTTTTATATACCAAATACAAACATTTTGAGGGCTTCTGGAATATAAATAAGTCATTTAAATATATGAATAAATATAGTCTTGTGCTTTGAAGAGTAAAAGAAAATTTGGCATTTTAGCACTTGATTTTTTTAACTTGATGTTTTGAAATAATTTGACTTACAGAATCACTTTTAAAAATGGCACAGAATCGCAAAACTGATCTCTTCTTCTCTAGGGTTAACATCTGTCAGAATCATGGTGCTGTTATCAGACCAGGATATTAACATTGGCACAGACCTCATTTGAACTTCACCTGCTTTCTACTAATGTCTTTTTCTTTTTTTTTTTTTTTTTAAGTAGGCTCCATGCCTAGCATGGAGCTCAATGTGGGGCTTGAACTCATGACCCTGAGATCAAGACCTGAGCTGAAATTAAGAGTCCGACACTTAACCAACTGAGCCACCCAGGCGCCCCTTTACTAATAATGTCTTCTTATTGCTCCAGGTTCCAACTCAGGATCCCACATTGTATTTAATTGTCATGTCTCCTTAATCTCCTTGAATCTATGACAGTCCCTCAGTCTGTCCTGTCTTTTATGACCTTGACACTTTTGAAGAGTACTGGTCAGTTCTTTTGTGCAATATCCCTCAATTTGGGTTTGTCTGATGTTTTCTCGCAATTAGAGTGAAGTTTTGCATTTTGGGTGAGAATATCACAGAGACAAAACTGTCCCTCTCACTGCATCATATTAGGGGTACCTGATGTTAGTATTTCTCATTATCGACGATGTTGGAGCACTTGGTTGAGGTGGAGCCGGCCAGGTTTTTAAACTGAAAGTTCTCATTTCCCTTTTATAGATAATAGTTGTCTTGGGGGAGATGCTTTGAGCCTATGAAAATATCCTTTTTGTCCTTCAACTTATCTGATAATTTTGGTATCCCCCAGTGGATCTTGCCTGCCTCAGTTATTACTGCCTGCAGGTCAGCGTTTGATTTTTAAAAGTCCACTTGCCATTCCTGATCTTGCCAAAAGGTGGCAGTAGCATTGTTAAAATGGAATTTGTTGACCGTTTTGATTCAAAGTGGAGGGATGTCCTTTCTGTCTGTAAATGGAGCATATAGATTTGCATTTAATTAGGTTTGCCTCAAAGTAACAAAATGAAGACATTGCTTCCAAGGGGGTTTTTTGCGAGTGATTTTCTCCTAGAATTTGTTATTTCTCCATAAAAAGACTTAGACTCAAGGGCCAAACTTAGTTGTTTTACGGGAAGAACACACTTTTTAAAGTTAAAGGAGGCTATTTCTTTTGTCTCTTTATTTCAGGTTCTGTAAAGGCACCTGCCAAAACAGAAGATCTTATTCAGAGTGTTTTAACAGGTAAATGCCACCTTCTTACCCCATGGAATTAGGCAGCTTAATATTATACAGCATAAGTATTTAGAGAGAGATTTCCTCTCATCTCTGAAAAATAACATCATTAATATTTCTTTTCTGAAAACATCCACAGATAAATAATCCTAGTTCAAGCCACATTATACAATGTAATCATGTCATCACAGAGAAGTAACCATATTTGGTGGCTAGGACTCTTGGTATAAAAATAATATAATTTCATAAGATATCAATATTAGAATCAAAGGATAGTTTCATACAGGAAACATGACCCAGGGAACAGGAATACACACCTTCCCAAAGTGCCAATAATTAGCCGTATTTTAGAAATGCAGAATGTGAACCATTTGGGACCACAAAATACAGAATGTTTAAGAACTATGATCCCGTTGGAAAATAATTTATATTTGGTTAGTTCCTTAAACTAGTGGGACCAAAACTGGTACACGATTTCTTTAATACAATGAGCAGCATGTGGCAGAATCTTCGAAATGTTTACAGTATTTGGTCCAATACACAGAAGAAATGCAAACACATGTTCACCAAAAGCAGCACTCTTGGTAATAGCCAAAAACTATGAACAACCCAGATGTCCATAAACAGTAGTGTAGATAAATAAATTGTGGTATAGTCACAGAATAAAATAGGGTACAACTGTAGGGATAAATAAGCTATGATCATACACAATATGGATAAAATTCACATGCACAATGTGGGGGTAAAGAAGCCAGACACAAGAGAGCACATTCTTTGTAATTCCTGCTACATACAGCTAAAAACAGGCAAAATGAATCCGTCCGTTAGAAACGCGGATTCGGATTATACTTGGGAGGGGAGAGAGAATGCAAAAGCCAAAAAGAGGATCTCCGGGGCACTGATAATATTCTGATCTTGATCTGAGTGGTGGTTACGAAAGTCTGTTCACTCTGGGAAAATGTATAGGGGGGTGGATTTATGATTTATGCGCTTTTATGTGTGTATATTTCACCAATATGTAAAATCTGCATCGAATAATTACTTGAGGAATGTATTAAAACATGTTCTAAAAGATTTAATTCCATGGGCCACAATGTAATGTTAACACATAAAACAAGAGACAGTCCAATGTTATTTTAAAATACATAAATGTGTAGGGAAAAGACAGTGGATATTTACCAAAGTTATTAGCAGTGAGGATCTCTGGGTGGCTTGTTTATGAGTGATACTTGTTTCTTTATGTAAATGAACATTCCCTTTATGCTTAAGAGCCTATTCGAAGAATAGCCTTTTATCCCAGACTTTAAAAAAAAATAGTACTTTCTGTGGAATTTTTTTTTTAATCATAGGTTGGAACGTCTTGAACCTTCTTGCTAAACCTGCTGTTGCTGGAGTGCTCTATGCCATTTTAATGAAGTGGGATTGAATCTGTTACCCAAAATGTAGCAATTCCTTAGGATTATAAATTCTTAGTATAATAAGTTATTATGCAACCATAATGAGTCCATTTGGGCCTGAGGGAAACCATTAGATAAATGTACCTGATTCTCTTCCTGGCCTCTTTCTCAAAAGGAATCGAATGCCAGGAGAATAGACACATTATAAAAAAGGGGAACATGTTTCAATTGCTTAACGACCTTAGCATTGAAGCACATGAATTATTATTCTGATTTCAGTGTTTATCCACTAGATAACTCATTTCTATTCAGGTCTGTTGTTGTTCATGGCATATATTATTTCTGAATCTCCTGACAGTTCTAAATATTTATGATAACATATTTTTGTTCCCAGAAGCAGAAAGTTCAAATGAAAAGATGGAAACATGTGAACTGTGACTTAAGTTAGGTCCAAACAAATGATAATTCATTGAAGTTAAGACACCATCAATTTGAAGGCACCCCACTATTCATGGATTGCTAAGAAAGAAAAGCACCAACAAGTTGTGATTGTACAAAGCATCTTAATTTCAGAAATGTTTGCATACTTTAAAATTTGTATTCTAGAATTGATGAACTATGTCGGTAAAATACAGAACGTTTTAAGGTCCAGGTCTGTCACATTACATGTTTTCTAAGCACTGGATTAAGTACCTCATAGTAATGGATGCTACCACTAACCCTGATGGTGCCTTTGGGCAAATCCCATCAAGGGACCTGCCCCCACTTCGGTGCTTTTTCCTGGAACACTGTTGTAATAAATCCAAACCTACAAAGTCTCTGGTATGAAGAGTGCCCCTTCGAGACCGTGCTGTATATATGATCATTTGTTAAGCCCCAACAGGCACACTGCCAGAAAGTGTGTTCAGTACTTTGCATGATTCTTTCATATCGCCATCACAACAACCCTAACAAGTAGTGGAAATACTGAGGTCCTTAAAGTGGATCCTGTTGGTGCCCATCCCTTTCCCATCTGGTGCACCCATTCTCCAGCTGTGGTTGAGAGTTGCTGCTAACAGCTCATAGCTTCCCCTTCTCTTTAAAATTGCCCTAAGCCCAGAGGAAGACCCCTCACCAGGAGGTTATGCCTTCCTTCCCTGACCTTCTCAATGTGCAAAAGGCTGGTCTTCTTGCCTCAAGGTGAGGCCCACTCTGTCATCCTCCAGAGCTCCCACCCACAGGCAGAAGCCAGGCTCCTGTGGAGACCATACCATTGCTCAGCTCCTTCCCCTTCCTTGTCTGCTGCACTCTCTTCCTCCCCCTGAGCCCTTCTCAGTAAATCACATACACTCGAATCCACCCCCCCGCCTCAGGCTCTGTTTCTAGGGAAGTCAAACTTTCCAAAAAAAATTATGAGTTAAGAAATTGGGTCTTTGAGAAATTCGGTGACAGAATCGCAGAAGTTACCAAGTGCCAGCCTGGAACCAAGATACGTTTGACATCCAAGCTCTGCTCGGAAGCTCCAGTTGGCTGGGATCAAACAAATATTGCCTGAGAAGCAGGTTGCTACTCCTCTTTACATCTGTGTTTGCAGTCCTTCCACGTCTGTTAGCTCTTATACTCATTTGTTGCAGAAGTGGAAGCCCAGACCATCGAAGAGCTAAAGCAGCAGAAATCGTTTGTGAAACTTCAAAAGAAGCACTACAAAGAAATGAAAGACCTGGTTAAAAGACACCACAAGAAAACCACTGACCTAATCAAAGAACACACTACAAAGTATAATGAGATTCAGAATGACTACTTGAGAAGGAGGGCAGCTTTGGAAAAGACAGCCAAAAAGGACAGTAAGAAAAAGTAAGTTGAGTATTTCTACTTTGTTTCATAGTATGAAGGAAAAGAGTCCTTTACGTGGATTTTTCAGTATTTTACACCATATTTTGGATCCAGGGCAAGAAGGAAGGCCACCTCAGCTCAGTTTTGCTTGTGGACTAAATTTCTTTATTTGCCTGCCTCCTAAGAATAGATATACAGGAAGTCCTACCCTTGGGTTCTGGCCTGTGGGCCCAATACCAGTTGGCTGACTTCCCATATTACAGCTGTTAACCTGGCCGGTATACAGTTTTGCTGTGTTCTAGAACCTAGTTGAAGAGGTGACTTGTTATAGAAAAGAGCTGCCTTTGCTGAAACCCACAGAGGCTTGTACAGGTAACCCTTGTGTTTGGGTCTAGGGGTCCCCATAGCCCCATGTACCTGGACCTTGACAAGGAGAAGCATCTCTCACACATTCATTCAACCAACATTTATTGAGTGCCTAGTGTGTGCCCTGGGGACACAGCAGTGACCATGACCTTTGCAGTTACCACCCATAAGTAGCTAGCATGGCAATGCAGGGAACTACGTGATCATGCAAGCCACCTGCCACTGAGCTGAGTCAGATAGGTTCTATTCCATCCTTTCTTTCTCTTCCTTACGGAATAATCTTAGCTTGATGCCAGGTTAGAGAGAGATGTAAGAGGCAATTTCAGATCCACATTGTGACATACGATTGAATATGTGCTTAACGGCACAATCAAAACCCAGTGGTTGGGTTTTAAAAAGCAACAACATCACTATTTCTTAGAATTAGAATAGTCTTAGAAGCCATCGAGGTGAACTGCTGCCACTTCTTCAGGGAGGAAGCCAAAAGCTCAAGACATTTACACAATTACACAATTACAATTACACAGTTACACAATGGTTCGGGCAAAGCTTGGCCTAAAACTTCTAAATTTCTGTTGCAGTGATATATATGTGTTTGTTTATTCACGTATTTGTTTACCTAGAGGTCATATCCTGAAAACTTCTAATAGAGTATGGAAGTAATTCATCGTAGAAGACATATGTAAAAATCCTATGAAAATAGAAAAAGGGAAGCAACACACATACACACAATCTGAGTGGCTACCAGTTATCAAGACCCGCTGTCCAATATGGCAGCCACTAGGCACATGTGGTTTTTGAGCCCTTGAGAAGTGGCTCATGGAAGTTGAAATGTGCTGTAAGTCTAAAATACATACCAAATTTCAAAGACTTTATTTAAAAAAAAAAGAATATAAAATAGCTCATATTTTATATTGACTTACATTGATTTTACTTTAATTACATGTTGAAATGATAATATTTTAGGTATACTAGGCTCCATACAGTGTGTTATTAAAATTAATTTCACTCACTTCTTTTTACTTTTCAAGTTAGCCACTAAAAATTTTAAATCACATATGTGGAAAAAATCAAATACGTGGCCCATGTTATATTTCTACTGGACGGTATCAGCCATTTAATGTAATTTCTATCCTTGAACACTGAATTTTAGCTCTTAGTTTCTGAGAAAAGGGAATATGGGCTAGATAATTCTCCTTATCTGATTAAAGCAAACTTGCTTGTTTTTCGAAGAGTGACAAACATTTTCCTGGTATTAAATTACAGAATTCATCTCACGGATCTTATACAGTCAGTAGTAGAAAACAGGGGATAATGTCTTCAACCCTCTTTTTACAGAAGATACAGAAACACTGTTTCCTTGGTTATTTTTTTATATTTTTCTTAAAAAAAAAAAATAAACAAAAATCCCTAAGCATCTAGTATCAAAAGAGGTACATCAAGAGAAACTTCTCTTTAAGAGGCAAAGAACTGAGGTCTGACTATGTCCATCTCTCTCCCATCACCTTTGATACACGTTAAAATCCTGAAAATACCTCAGAGCAATAAATGGGAATTATTGTCCATTAGGTTAGTTTCTTATTAAAATATCCACTGTCTCAACTGAGCTTTCCACATCCTGGAAAGAGCAGATCAGACACAGGCATGCAGTGTTTGTGTTGTTTTTAACAACACAGCCTTTGCCTTACTCTAGATGTCTGTCCTTGGATGAGCTGCTCTGGGCTCCCCCATACTGTGTTCTTAGGCAGATTGTCTCACTGAACCTCAGTTTCCTCAAATGCAAACTGGAGATGGCCACACCTACTTGTTGGGTTGCTGTGAAAAGAAAACCAAAAGTAGAGAGTGCCTGGTAAATGTTTCATGGTCAGTAACTGTTGACCTGTGGCCTCTGCTGTGGTGGTTGTGGCTGATTAAAGAGATGTCTTTATGTTCTGGTTACACTGACTTCCTGCTACCAAAGACAGTAAATGTATCTCACGTTCAGGCCAAGATGGAGGTCACCTCACTGATGCTACTTATTGTGATATTGACAAATCATCTTGTATTCATGCCAGGATGGACGGCCACCTCAATGCTGCCATGCCATTCTGATGTATCAGGTGTCCTGAGCCTTGTAGAGTGTTCATTCTCATTTAGCATTGCACATTAAAATGCAAATAGAAACTTTTGAGGGAATTCTGCATCCCTTATTTGCCACAATAGGACCCTAACACCAACTTCAACCAACTGCCTCTCCTGAGGTACCATCAGTGCTGGCCTAAGTCAAAGTGAAAGCAACAGGAATTAGGGCCAGCTGATTCAAGAAACTTCCACCTGTTCCGCCTGGCCACAAGCGAAAAACATGGAGGCAGAATCTGATGTGCTAGATATCTTAGGTGGTTTAGTTTTCTTTCTGCAGAAGTTTCCATATGAATGAAGAAAACAGACCTGCTCTTAGTACCCCATTCCCAACACCATCTCCTTTTCTGTGTGCCCTAAAAAAAGTAAGAGCACAAAATTTGAAGGAATCACACCATATGTTTGAGCACAATCAGTTAGTGAGAATTGCTTTGATTTATTTCAAGATTACTCCTAAACTTCTCAAAATCTGCATAAATCTCTATGAACAACTCAAAGAAAGTCACTGTGCACAGAGTAAGCACTCAATAAGTATTTTTCAATGAACTCACGCATCCTCCTTTCTCTTGTAACTTAACCATTTGGAGGAAAGTGCCATTTTGGGTAGAGCTATCCATGAAGTTGGTACATCCCCCAAAGAAACTTATTTTAATAATGTATCTTTGCTATTAAAAGATGTCAAGAAACAGAACATGTCAGCTGGGGGAGGGGTCTGCACATGCTCTCTGTTTTCTATCCATCACCCAGATGCAAAATTCAACACCTCTTCAACTCTCCTGACAGAATCCAATCAATGTCGAGTGTACTGAAGTCATTATAGGACATTAAGTAGCCGAGAATTACATTATACATGTCTTGTTAAAAAATTAAAAGATAAAAGCCTTAAAAGATCCTTATTAGACATTGTTTTTCCCTAGGTGGGGGTGGGAGGATTATCATTCTCTCCACCACTACCACAGGGTCCCCAGCCTCCTGGCTTTCTTTCTCTGTCCCTACATGAAATCTCACAAATGTCATCCACTCTGTGTTTGGAGACCCTCCACTGCTAAGCTTGTCCTTAGGGTATCAGCCTCTATCTCAAGTGGTTTGTTAAAACATTTATTTCCCAACCAACACTCTATCTAGGAGGAACTGTGGTATGCAATGTTCCCTCCACCTTGTTATGACCTGCCTGTTTTGTGAGTCAAGCTCTGTGTCTCTGCAGGTCAGATCCCAACAGTCCTGACCATGGTTCATCAACGATTGAGCAAGATCTTGCTGCCCTAGATGCCGAAATGACCCAAAAGTTAATAGACTTGAAGGACAAACAACAGCAGCAGCTGCTTAATCTTCGACAAGAGCAGTATTATAGTGAAAAATACCAGAAGCGAGAACACATTAAACTGGTAAGCCCAAGAAATGCTGTTGTGTTTGTATAGCTGGAACGCTCTTTTCTATAGAAAACTCTTGATGCTCTTGGATAACTTTAAAGAGAGACAGTGGGGACTCCTGGGTGGTTCAGTTGATTGGGCGGCTGCCTTCGGCTCAGGTCATGATCCTGGAGTCCCAAGACTCCCCTGCTCAGTGGGGAGTCTGCTTCTCCCTCTCCCCCTCCCCCTGCTCTTGTTCTCTCTCTCCCTCACTCACTCTCTCTCAAATAAATAAATAAAATCTTAAAAAAAAAAATAGAGACAGTGGCGGGTCTGGCTGGCACCTTCCTCTGGCTTCCTTAGCCAATAATCTTATCTTGATGCCAAGTTATAGAGAGAGGTAAGATGCATTTCTCCGATACATATTGTGGTGTGCTTTAATGCATGCTTAACCTAAAAGCACAATCAAAACCCAGTACCTGGGCTTTAAAAAGCAACAAAATAATTTCTTAGAACTTGAAATTGCATAAGGGCACCTAGTGTCCACCACACTAATATTTTATAAGCTCCACTCTTCCAGCATCTTCACCAAGCTCCTCTCTGTTCCCCAATGATGCTATGTTTTATTGTTTTATTTTCACTAACTTATTTTGGGGTTATTATAGTTTTTTGGGGGGAGATTCTTTGAACTCTCACAAGGAATTAATAAAAAAACGCTTATTTTGATTCAAGAAAATTAACAACATGCTACAAATAAATATTCACTATTTTTGGTGTCAATGGGCCTTGCAGACACTACACAGTACTGTCCACTCTCCTGCATTTAGAAGAGTGTCTGGCCAGTCGGGGATATTGTCTACCAAATTGCTGAGGCCCCCTGTGGAAGGAAATGCCATAGTCCCTCTTAGTGATCAGTTTTGTCCTCCAAAAGGTTTTCTTGAAGGTTGTGACAACTGTTGTTGATGCCTTGAGGTCATGATAAATATGTGGTGACAGATTAAATGATCAAATGATAAAGTAGCCTTGAAAACAAGCCTGTGCCCCAAACAAAACAAATGAGTAAGCTAATAGAAATTGAAGTTGTGTAGCCAGAGTTTGTATGTGTTTTTATGTTTCTGGTTTGGAGATGGGTGGGTGGTTTAGCGATTGGTGGATGGTTTAGCCATCACAGCAAACTAGGTGATTCAGTGTCATGCTGTTGACTTAGTGCTGGTTCCCCAGTGATGATACGCAAACGAGTAGGCCAAAGTCACGTGAGGAGCTTATCAAACATCAGATTCCACTTGGCCAGTTATTTTCAACTTCAGCATGCATCAGAATCACTTGGAAGGCTGTTAAAACACAGATTGTTGGTCCTTGCTCCGAATTTCCAATTCATTAGGCCTCTTGTAGGGCTGGTGATTCTGATGCTTGAAGTCCCAGGACCACACTTTGAGGACTGCTGCCTGATCACTAAATGTAAGGCTTGAGGATTTATTTTTAACAATATCCACTTGATTTGGGGGGTGCGGGGGCTGCCTTATCTGTGAACCACTGAAATAAGATCTGAGCTATGAAGGAATGGTAGGTCAGAGATCAGGTTCAGTGTAAGGAAGGGATTGCCTGACAGGCCAGAGAAAGTCAAAGTAAATCTTAGTGAGAAATAATGGTTTTGAGACCTTGCTACCATGACAGCCATCTGATTTTCTCCAGTACCTCACCCGTGGTACTCCAGAAAATAACAACAATAATAAAAGTTAAAATAATAACCATGTATTAAGCATTCACCATAGGGGCCATACCTTGTGCTAAACCATTTACAGAAATTGTCTGATTTAATCCCTACAACCACCACCACTGGAGTTTAGTATTATTGTCCGCTTATTTTACAAATAAAAAACAGAGCAATTCACAACTAGAAAATGATGAGGTTGGGATTTGAACCTTGGTCCTCTGACTCTAGAGGCCCTGCTTTCTAACCATTGTGCAGATACCTCTGGTAAATCAGATTTCAAACCAAACTTATCATAATGACCTCATATCTACTCACACAGGACATGCACAGCCAACTCCTTCATTACAATGACTGGGATACTGTACTGTCTCTTTCTCTTCAACAGCTTTATTATATATGCCATGCAATTCACTCCTTTAAGGTGTATAGTTCAGTGGTCTTTAGTATATTCATGGATATGTACAACCATCAGAACAATTTTAGAACATTTTTATCACCTCAAAAATAAACCCTCATTCATGCATTCATTAAACAAATACTTATTAGATACCTACTCAGTAAATATTTTCCAATAGAAAAGGGGAAAAAATGACAACAATCCCAGCCTTTATGGAGATTACATTCTAGATGAGGGGTCAGACCATGAACAAAATATGTTGGTACGGGGCACCTGGGTGGCTCAGTCAGTTAAATGTCTGCCTTCAGTTCAGGTTGTGATCTTGGGATCCTGACAATAATACTAAACTCCAGTTGGGCTCCCTGCTCATCAGGGAGTCTGCTTCTCCCTCTCCCTCTGCCCCCTCCTCCCATCGTTCATTCTCTCTTTCTCTCAAATAAATAAAAGCTTTAAAAAAGTTGGTAAAATATATAGTATGTCAGGTGGTCCTAAGGGTTAGGAGAAAAATCAATAAATGGGGAAATAGGGAGTGGGGATGGAGGGAAAGTTGAGGAACATGCTTTGAAATTTTAAATTGAATAACCAGGAAGGACTCACTAAGAGGCAGCAGCTGACTTAGGAGTGAAGGACTGACGTCTACAAACACATGAGGCTGGATTGTGCACAGCAGAAGGATTAGCAAATGCAAAGACTCTGGGTCAGGGATGGGGCTGTCTGTTGAGGGACCAGCAGGTTGGCTCTGTCTGAGGCTGTCCGAGATGGGACTTCTGGGGCTAGGGACAGATCTCTTAGAGTTGTAGACCTCTGTGTTTCATTCAGAGTGAAGTTGACGCCACTGGAAGGTTTTGCATGGAGGAGAGACATGACCTGAAGTAACCTTTACAAGGATCACTCTTCTAGTACATGATGAAGAGTAGGGTTCCAGGAGAACAGAGTTCAGATGAATGGTGGTTCACAGGGTTAGAAGTCCTGGGGTTCTCTGGCAGATGACTGCATTTGACAAATAGGGTGACTATTACTTGGAGGACTAGGCAATCCATCCATAATCATCCTGAGTTGCCCCAGAGTTCCAGCCCCTGGCAAGATTCCCTTCCCCGAGGAGAGAGACGCAGTAATTCAGAATAAGAGGAAAACTCGAGAGTCATGGGAGAGTCCCAAACCAAGAATTCAGAATGTGGATGAAAACAGAAGCCCAGACATGCCAGAAAGGCCTTTAGGGGAGCAGGGGGCAATACAAATGGCTGCAGAAATCACAGGGAAGAGTTGCACAAGCTCAGCATCACAGGAGGAACACCTGGGCATGAGGCCCCACATCAGATCCCACTGGAGGAGGCCACAGAGAGTGGCTCAGCCGCTTTTCTCCCGGAGGGGAAGGTGGGCTGGGAACTAGGGAAGATCAAGCTGAGCTTCTAAGTGGAAAATTACTCCCCTGCAGGGACACTGGAACTGGAGAGGTAGTGGAACTCCTGGAGGTGGCAGTCCAACAACAGGGGCTTCTACTCGCTTCTCCCTAAGAAGGAATGAGTGTGTCCATAATAAAAGCTTTGGGGCCCCTGGGCAGCTCAGTCAGTCAGTTGAGTGTCTGCCTTCAGCTCAGGTCATGATCCCAGGGTCCTGGGATCGAGTCCCGCATCGGGGTCCCGCTGCTTCTCCCTCTTCCTCTGCCTCTCCCCGCTGCTCGCACTCTCTCATGCACTCACTTGCTCTCTCAAATGAATAAATAAAGTCTTAAAAAAAAAAAAAAAAGCTTTGAAGAGTTTTTCAGAAAAACATACACACATGTCTAAGCTGGTCTGGCCCTTTCAGGCCAAATATACTCAAAATACTCACCCTGTCACCTTTGTGATTGTGGATTTGGATTTCAGATAAAGTCCTGATGTCTTTGAACACAGTTGTATTCTTTGGTTAAGACGGTGAAGGCCTAAATGCCTAGACTTTAGAACCACACAGAGTTTGTTTTATGGCCATTTGGAGGCATCCACAATTTCTACTACATGCCCTTAGCTGGCACATATCAAAACTTTCTCTCACTCCATTTGTAACAACCAGAAATTGTTCTGCCAGGAAATCTTTTGACTGAGAGCACCCAGAAGTGTTAGTTCTATCTTTGGTTGTGGATCCGAGTTATGAACAGCCCTCTCAGGCTAAATTAGACAAATGGAAGTGTAATTAAAAAGCAAGTAGGCCCCAGGTAAAAAGGAGTATTTGGGTGATGAGGAAAATTAAACAAGATATTCCATCTCCCAAAATTGCTTTGGGAATTAAATACAGATGTGTTTAGGTTAAGGTCTATACATTTCAAATGCTGGAACCCACAGTTCAAGGATTAAGAAAGAAAGCTTTACATCAATAAACTCCCTACCAAACGTTCAATAAAAATTCAATGTCTGTGGGGCGCCTGCCTGGCTCAGTTGGTAGAGCATGTGACTCTTGATCTTCACATTGCAAGTACGAGTCCCACGTGGATGTAGAGGTTGATTAGAAATAAAATCTTAGGGCGCCTGGGTGGCTCAGATGGTTAAGCATCTGCCTT